CCTGATGTCAATTGTGTGGAAAGTACAGCCCACTACTACATTTCAGTTCAGGGAAGAGTTCAAAAACATGATTGGTCGATATTATGTATGAGGAATGCATTTTGGTAAGTTGTAGCATACTGTACCTTTCAACTGTGTTCGTGCTCTTTTACCATTAGCTAGTAGAGATGATCGGTTCACGTGCGCTAGAGATCTGTCGTGTAACATTTACAAGCGCCAAAATGGTATTTATTGTTTGAATTGCGTAAGAAAATTGACAGAATCTGAGAGCTGAGATTTTTTTATATTTATCATAACTAACCTGCTCCATCTAGTCTGTCGGTGTCCGTGTCCTTTTCTGTGCGCGACAAAATTGATGTGTGGCGTGAGAGCGTGTGAAAAGTGTCAATTGCGTGTCTCGCGGTGAATTCGTGAGAGTTGGTAGATCTGAATGGCGCTAGCTTGGTCGACATCTGTCAAATTAATTCAAACTAACAATAAAAATGTAATATGAACAAAACGAAAACCGTAAAACTTCAAATAACAGCCCGGGCTTTTATTTTCCCATATCGTCGAAATGCACCGGCTTGTATTTGAGACCGGTGTCTATGAGACGGCCTTTATAATTTAGTGTTCAGATGTTGAGAGTCTCTAATCTCTAAAAATCTCCAAATGCTCCACGTGAAACTGGGGTCTTCCAAACTTTAACTATCGTGTCAATTGATTTGATTAATATGCGCGAGGGAGAGAGAGCAAAACAGCGTTCGCTCGTTTTGTTTGAAGATGTGAGAATGCGCACGCTGCACTCACTTTTTGGAGGTATACTGCCCCCATCTGGTATGGAGTATGATTTTATTTTATTTTTTTCACACAAGGCACCTTTAAAAGTTGTATCAGCGATTTCAGGCCCAAACATAAATGATCACATTCATCTAATCTTTGTTTTTTACAGGAATGATATATTTGATAATAATCTATAAACCGTTTCTAATCACCTCTATATGTTACACATGTTGCTTGCCAATAAATAAACAATTGTCAATTCACAACACTCAAATACATTGCTGTTAAGAATAGCCTAATTGGCCTATTATTTATTTTGGTGATCGGTAATATAGTTATCATTATAGTTTTGAGTGAACATTGAACAAGCCTGGATTCTGATTCTGTCAGTGATTTTATTATTCATAAGACAGAAGAAAAATAGTTCTGAAAGTGATTCTAATGATATTGTTCTTCTGTGCCATTATTATTATAGCCGTGGTGCGAAATTCCCTATTCTCATAAACATTTAAGTTGTTTGCCTAATCATTAGAAATCTGCATCCAATTAATGACTGTAGTCAAGCTACAAGTGCCATCTATTAAAAACTAAATATACATATTTAGGGAAAAGTCTCATAATCTGATAATACTGACTGAAGAACCGGAATTGTATTAACAAAATAAGATTAACAATCCTAAACAAGGCCTCAAATAAATGTCCAATGAATGCAATGAGCGGTAACATGGCCACTGACATTCAAGCTCACTCAAAAAGCATAATTTAATCCATTTTAGCATTATGTTCATCAAAACATGAATGACTTGAGTGAAAAACAAAGATGTGTTATGTTAGGAATTGGCAGCCACAAAAGTATTAAATAAGAAGCAGTAATGAAAGTGAATACGAACTAAGGATGTAATTCTGGCATTAAGCTCTACAGAAAAACGAATAATAAAGGAATTGTATCATTTTTGGGGGGGTGAACTGAACTAGCCCTTTAAGTTCGCATCTTTCCCCAGAGTCTCAGACCTCTGATGTGTGTGTGTGTGTAATGGATTCTCCATAATGGTCCCTCAGTAAAGACAAAAGCCTACAAAAATATAGTAATAATAATAAACGAAAACTTTTAATTAAACACCTGTCTCCGTAACTTATATGTAACGTTAATCTAATAAAATAAACGTAAGCCAAAATAGAAAGTAAATAAATCAATAAAGCCGTCTTACGACATTGAATGAGCTCTTCCTCCTGCTGCGGGCCAGAAACCTTAGTGTTCACTGTTGAGTCCTTCAACAGGAATGAGGAACACGATATTACACAAATCACCTGCCAGCCTGTCTCCAGCACCAATATATTTTACTGATTCCTTGATAATCAATCGAGCTGGTCAGATATCGATCCATAACATCCAAAGGGCGACCAGAGAGATGGAGTTATTCATTTCTGTCGCTAATATGAGCCACAGGGCGAGTCGTGATGCGCAGTTATTGCTCAAACACTGAATCCAGATCACAACCTCAATCGATCAATCAATATTCCCGTTAATTAGAAACGGGATTAGCAAACCAATATGAACTAATGGAGCTAACAACAGCCTGACAAACACCTTTAGCTCGTTAGCTATAGCAGCCTTATTATTTATTTCACTCACTTCCACGATGAACTTCGCCAGAGGCTTCAGGGGGGAGATGAATAGTGAGATACCAGCGTATGTAGATTATATGACGCCTTTTCTGAATAAATTCAGTGTTGATATCCCGCTACCCGCTTTTCCTCCTTTCTTTAGTGTTCCTCAAGTAACGTGAACCTTTCGCTGCTGTCGCCAATGACTTCCGCTCTCGGACTCTAAGGAGATTTCAAAACAAAAGCCCCATCACCAGGGTAATTTCTGTTTTCATTTTGAATTTACGACTGATTTGCCAGTGTTGTCGTTTCTACAAAGAAAAGGGTATAAAAAAAGAAATATGCTCTGTTAGAGCTCGGGTACTTAAGCTTAATTAAACATAGCTTGATTATTTACACTGTGTCAATGAACAGGATGTTAGCAGCCATGCTGTGGATGCCAACATGAAATCATCGAACATCTTATACTATTTTTAAAAAATATATAATTTCTCCACGATTTTTGTAATTTTGTGAGGATGAGATTTGTTTTTAATTGAGCAGGATAAGATAAAATAATAAAAAGCGATAGAAACTAACGTGACAAAACATTACACAAATGATAAAAATCTGTTTCTAACTTCTTCTTCTTCTGGCTTTCCGGCAGACTAACGTTAGATGCCTTACGGCATATTCTGTTTCTAAATAACCATTGTTTGCCTTGCCAAAAACCAATTCTAATTTCGACCTGTATTTTGCTAATTAAAGGGATAATACAAAAGACACAAGGATGAAACTACTTGATACCATAGACTGTAAAAAAATATGGACGTAGTATCCATCCATGACGTCATCCGTAGGTTTCTGAAGAGCGTTTTTGAACATAGACAGTAAAAGAAATGGACACAGCGACCCCGTTGATTTCAACGGAGAGAGTTGAAGCTCAACATGGGCACTCACTTCCTGATAGCCAAGCGTTCTGCGCAGGCTCAAACTGAGCTTGACGACGTAGATGTCACGTGAGAAAACTGACTGACAGTAAATCTTATAGTAGCTTTGCCAAGCCAAATTTTAATCGTGCACAGAGACCGCGAAGCGCGACCTGGAGCAACGTTTGGTAAGTATTCTGATTAATTATTTTGTCATTTTGCTTCTATCTATGCCATGGGCTGACTTTAGACAGTAAAAGTTTGCCTGCAAGGCTGTGCGAGCTTCTCCTCCTGTCTATACGGTAACGTCTCTACTGTGCGACGGACAGTCGAGTGGTTATGACGCAATTTTTAGCCTATTTTTACAAGAACGGCTTCTACGTGGCCATAACGTAACATACAAAGTAATGGAGCCTTTTATACATTGTCGTGTTTCTTTAGAAATAAATAATGGATAAATGGAGTCTTTGGACGCCTCAGATGTAAAGTTATTCGCTGTCAAAGTGACGCCAAAATGAATGGGAGTCAATGGGATGCTAACAGCAGGTGATAGCCCGCTACAATGGCGGCCTCCGGAGGCACCTTCAACTTCCGGCTGATGGATTACCCCCTTGGTAGTGAATTGATAAGCTGACGTTAGCTTTAGATCGACAGATTCCAGACTTCCTGCTAACGGTTAGTAATTAAAGGATAATGTTAGACTGATTCTCACCTTTGATCAATCGGTACTTTGGTGGCTTCGTGACTTGGTGTGGTCGTCTTGGTCCGGGCCATAAACGTGGTGAGACTTTGTGTGGTATGCAGTGACCAGACGACGATGCTTTTGACCTAGCATATGGCTTACAATTGCCGCCTCCCCCATGTTGGAGATGTCAAATGATTTGACACAAAGTTTGCAAATAGCTTTCTTATACAGATGTATAACTCCGAAGCTGTTCAGTTCAGCTAAAAAACTGCATAGTTCCCCTTTAAATATGGTTGGAAAAATCTGTAGTGAGGTCTGGAAATTTGAGTCTGGAAAAGTATGGAATTTTGAAATGGAAATTGTGTAGGAACCCTGAGTGTAAAATAGTCCCAATTTAGGCGTACCATAGTGGTTCAGAATAAGATAAAAACACGGATTCATGGATTCATGATGAACATGATGAAATTTTGAATAGAATAAAGTAAAACTTTTCAAATTATGACGCGACCCCCCGAGCTCGCTGAGGCCCTCTTGTGGGCCACGATTCCCCTGTTGGAAACCGATGGCCTCTACAAAATATTTTAGTTATGAATAACTGAACATACCAAAATAACAAAACAAAAAAATAAAAAAAAAACACCATATTCTAGCTTCATGCTTTTTTTTTAATCAACACTTGAATGTGGGTGTGCAAATTGTAAATTAAAACCTGAGGAAATTGTGTCTTTGTCAAAGATGTCTGGATCTTATTCAAAATGATGTTAAAATCACGGAGTAGATCGAGTCCATCAACTCCCCAAAGCTTCAGTCCTACAGCTCGTCCTGGGTCGACTAACATTACACGATTTTGATTTAAATGCTGTTGAATGTTAGATGATCTGCGCCTGTTTGAATCTGTATAGTTGTATAGCGCCCCCTACCGTATAACAGTGAATGCCCCAAAATTCAAAATGGCAGGGAAAGAGTTCAAAGTCCTCATTCGGTAATCGTGTCATACTGTAAAATGAAGAGGATCCATATAAATAAACAGCCAAAGCTAATGTTTTTAGAATATTTTTTTTTAAAAAGCCACAGAGTATTTCTAGAGACAGCGAGAAGATCTTTGTACAGAAATAAGCAACAACATAATTCTGCATATGCAATACAGTAAAACCTGCCGCTCAAATAATATTCCAGAGGCAAAAGAACAAATAAGACCAGCTGCCTATGCTAACCTATGACACTACATTACACAAATAGAGCTTTATATTCAAAACACAGGATATGTAAAAGTTCTTGAAATTGTTGAAAAAGTGCAATAAAGGTTTGACTGTCTACAACTTGATCGGTTATCCCAAATAGGTTGTGTTGTTTTTACCACGCTTTTTAACATGCTCCTATAGTTACCCAGAATTTCTTACAGGAGACATTAGATTCATAAAACAAAATTATGATTGCTGTTACATATTTTCTTTGGGTAAAAGTACAGAACAAAACCATATCCAGCAGGGTAGGAACAGTAGGGTTTTTTTTTTTTTTTTTGCCTCGCAGGTTGAGATTTTATACAAGTTCTTCATATGAAACGAATATAATGGAAAATAAAAGATGAGCACTGGGAGTTCTGCATAAAAGTCTTGTTGCATCAAATGCCAAGAATGTGGCCTGTAAAATCTCACAGTGAATGTCATTCATTCATTGAGTTTGTCTAAGCTCTGATAGAAGAATTCAGACCAATGCAGCAAGAGGAAATCAACCATATAAAGCACTTTCAAATGTACCAAATTCATTCATTTATCATCATGTGAGAACCTGAAGTTTTGGAGTTTCAGCACCGAGTCCAGCATGTGTGCTGGAGGTCTACGTTGTCAGCATTACAGAATAAATATCACAGTGTTGTGTGATAAACATTTCCCAGTTGAACTGATTTCTGCCATTCCACACAAATTTTAATAAGGCATATCTGAAGGGAACTCCCATTTAAAACAGGCAAAATGTTGAAGGGGAATTGCAGACTGCAAAAATTAAAATTGCAAAGAGAGGTCAGAAACATTACTGTGGTGACAACATGAGTCCGTATTAAACATATATACAAACTGATAAGTGTATATGCATATAAAACAATACAAAACATGTTTAAGAAAATAATAAGACATGGCACGTTATATGACATACAAAAGAGAGAGAGACATCAATCAAAATGCTTGATACAAAATGCCTTGCAGAAATAAAAAGGACGTTGTCCAACGTTCACCTCACTGGAACGGGGGGCAATATATATATCGATACAAAAAAAGACACAAATGAAACACTGTAAAGTGTGCCTTACAAGCACCAACACGTACACCAGCATATTGTAGCTTTCCTTTTTTTCGTAGGATATTAAAATGGTGTCTTTTGAAACGGTCTCCACTAAAATAAAAGGAAACATTTACGTAGGATGCCGAGAGAAAAATCGCAATCATCTCAATGAAGTAACCGCATGTCCGCTGTCCTCGTTTGATGGGTTTCTCCTTCCTGAGAGCAAGCAAGGTATCCCAAACGTTATTGTTTTTTCCTATCTCACTCTCCGTCTCTTTCCGTTTAGCGAATGATTGAGAACTCCTCCGTGCCGAGCGTCCTCCCCGTGGCGGGGAAGGTCTAGTGTTATTGTGAGGATTGTGCTCAGGCTGTCGTGATGGCGTTTAGGTCCTTCATTAAGCCCTCCAGATGGGCCATTTCCTCAGTCAACTCATCCGTCTCGTAATTCTGAAGGAGATGAAGAAGGTTACTGCGGGGGGGGTGGGGTTGGGGTGAGCTGGGGTCAAAGGGAATTATAGGGGTTTTATAGGGGAAGGTCAATGGTACTGCAGAAGAAAAGCAGGAAATCAAATAGCACAGTTACATGCGTGGGGATGGATGAAGGGGTGTATGGTAGTATGGTGCATTATATCGGTCAGCATTCATTTATACAAGCAAAGTTTCCAAAATTAATTGTAATAAATACAGCCGTTAAAAGGGGAGAGCAGGTAAAGGTTTGAGAGAAAAGAAAAAAACATGTTAAAATGGTATCATTGTATTGTACATTTACAATATTTAACAGTTTATTTGATATGTAACAGTGCATGGAACATTATAGTATGTATGCACTTGAAACTCCCAGGCCATAGGATTTGATGCATAATGATGAAATGCATACTTTGAACGCAATGTCAAATGTAGCAAGTAATGCCTGGTTCAGATTACACGATTTTTTTGTCTATACGATAGTCACTGTGCCAGATTGCGCGATTTTGACTCCTAAAATCTTGTCGTGTCGTGGACAAGACACATGTCAGACTACACGTTGCTTCCTGACCAGTCATTGTATGCCGTCTTTAACGGCGCACGTGATGTCATCGAGAAGGCGAAACTAATAGCGTGTGACTTCCGGAAACGAACGTAAACAAACAATGGATGAAGCGGTGATTGTTGTAGCCTAATGGCTGTCCTGTGTTAAAAAGAAAGAACCTGACAATGGACACGTTCCTGGATTGCTCGAAGTGGACAGTATGGGCTGTCAATCCTCCGAAGAGAACTTGAGGTAAAATATTGTTTTCTTATATATTTTTACTTTTAGTTGTAACGTTAGCACTAGCGTCTCTCTTTCGTTACGCCATTTTTCAAAGTTGTGTACGGAAAAGCTTCTGTCCTCCTATTGGTCAACCTCATACATGTGACGGAACCGTCGTGGACGACCATTAAAAAAATTAAACATAGTCTTTTTGTCGTGATGTCGTGAAGCATCGCAGACGCGACGTAGGTTGTCACTCACTATATACACACTATACTAGATGATACGATCGAATCTTGCGTCCCGACACCCGTTGTCTTTACAAATCCCCACGACACCCTACGTCAAATGGATCGTGCCAAAATCAGGCTAAAATCGTGTAATCTGAACCAGGCATTAGTCATTTTTGCTATGCAATATATTGTCATCATGTCCCTGGAGCAGATGGCTAACTTTATAGTAACTCGTGGCCTCAAGATACTATCTTGTGGCCTCAAGATAGTAACTCGTGGCCTCAAGATAGAGTTAGTATCTTGAGGCCACGAAATAGTATCTTGAGGCCTCGAGTTACTATCTTGAGGCCACGAAATAGTATCTTGAGGTCACAAGTTAGTATCTTGAGGCCACGAGTTAGTATCTTCAGGCCACGGGTTAATATCTTGAGGCCACAAGTTACTATCTTGAGGCCACGAGATAGTATCTTGAGGCCACGAGATAGTTATAAATTTTTTTTTTTGCCGAAGTGGGACTAGGGGGGCTCCGAAGATAATTATAACACAAGCATATTCAAAAGTAACAGAAATGACTCAAGTGTACATGGTTTTGTTGTACACATACATGGAAGTTTGTATAGTGAGTGATATTCCAGATGTTTTCCAACCTCTGTAGTACAGAGCATTATAGAAGCAAAAGTACTCACACTCCCTGCATCTTCATGAAGTCTGATGCCTTCCGAACCATCCGGTGCACTTGGAACTATGACAGGCATTGGAGTTCTCGTCCTTCCCAATGTACCGATAGAGGCTGTTTTAACTGAGTGAGGCCCGGAAACAATCACAAGTCAGTGTCTGTCTATCTCCTTTTTTACCATTAAACTTTATACTATATACTATTCATAATAAAGATGTACAAATTGCATTTTTTCAGAGCATTTGGAGTGTGACAACTATTGGAACTGTACAAAGAACTGGTATAAATTAGTTTTCTATTTAAAAGACAGAACCTTTTCCATCAGTATTGGTAATTTGCCCTCCTATTCAGCAACTCTAAACTGTGGCGTCCCACAAGGTTCTATTCTAGGTCCTATTATATTCTCACTGTGTATGTTTAGGCTCATTTGAAGTGTGACAACTATCGGTACTTGCAACTGTACAAGGTACTGGCATAAATTAGTTTTCCATTTAAAGGGGTGGTTGATTATGACTTCACTTTTCTAACTTTAGTTAGTGTGTAATGTTGCTGTTTAAACATGAACAACATCTGCAAAGTTACAATGCTCAAAGTTCAAAGCAAAGGGAGATATTTGCTTTTAAAGAAATTGCTTTTTAAGGACTACAACAAACAGCTGGTCGGGACTACAAAACATTGCTCTCGGGTTAGTGACATCACTAACCTTAAAATTTACATAAATCCCAGCCCCGGGAAGGCGATTTATAGATTATCATGACAGAATATGCTAATCAATTACTAGAAGATAGGCACATAAGATGCATAAATATATCAACTAACCATACAGAATTATTGTCTGACTCCAGTTTGAACATAAAAGACTAAAAGTTTCTGAAATTTTCAGTGCATGTCTATGTGAGGTAAAAGGACACAAGCTCAAGAAGCTCCGCCCTCTGTTCCAGAGCAGCAGATCATTTGCATTTAAAGGGACGGACACAAATATGGTGCGTTTTTGCTCACCCTCAAAAAGTGACAATTTTAACATGCTTTATAAAAAATATCAGTGGGGTATTTTGAGCTAAAACCTCACATACACACTCTCTCTTGGGACATCAAATATTATACCACCCCTTGAAAAGACAGAACATTTTCCATCAGTATTCAGCAACTCTAAACGGTGGGTCCCACAAGGTTCTCTTCTAGGTCCATTTATATTCACACTGTATACCTTTAGGCTCATTTGGAGTGTGACAACTATTGGTACTTGCAAGTGTACAAGGTATACATTAGTTTTCTATTTAAAGACAGAATTTTTCCATCATTATTGGGAATTTGCCTTCCTATTCAGCAACTCTAAACTGTGGGTTCCACAAGGTTCTATTCTAGGTCCTATTATATTCACACTGTATACGTTTAGGCTCATTTGGAGTGTGACAATTGGCACTTGCAACTGTACAAGGTACTGGCATTAATTAGTTTTCTATTTAAAGACCGAACTTTTCCATCAGTATTGGGAATTTGCCTTCCTATTCAGCAACTTTAAACTGTGGCGTCCCACAAGGTTCTATTCTAGGTCCTATTATTTTCTTACTTTATATGTTTAGGCTCAATATTCCACAAACATTACTTATGCTACACATGCTCTCATTTTATAGCTTGGAATAGGGTAAATCCTGGTTGGCAATATACTCTGCCAATGAGATTACTAATACGATTAGCTTTCATTTAATTGAATGTGCCTGACTATGTTAAACATCTTTTATATGTTAAATGCCATTATTTCAGACACTGCAGTGCAGATTGGATCACCCAAGATAGATGTACATATCTGGTGTAAAAAAGGGTAGTTACCTGTCTGAGACAGCAATGGAGTGCTAGGCAATGCCGAGTCATACATGGGGTGAGCTGGGACGGCCGGCACTGCAAAACTCTTGAGAGGGTGTGTGGGACGAACGTGTGCTGTGGGCGTACCGAAAGCTGGCTCCTCCTCAGTGACTGAGCTGTGGTAGCTAATGTCTGTCTCTGAAAGGTCAGTGGTACAGGAGGGCTGCCCAGACGGTGGGAGCAGGTCGGCACTAGGGGTGTTCCTTACAGACTCTGTAATTACAACAGCTCCTGGGTCAGCACATGTGAGGTTCTGCATGTGAGCAACCTTAAAGACTGACCTAATTAAAAAGCCTGCTTAAAGTCAAGATGAATCCGTAATAAATTTAAGGTATATCTGAGTGAAACACAAAGTGAAAAGAGGCCTTTCCTTGGTGGACAAAATGATTTGATAAGTATGGTATGCGTCACCAGAAAGAAGTCTGCAATTTGACCAGACAATTCGAAACAGATCAGATTCCATGTAGACTTCAAGAAAGTAAATAGGGTAACTTTTAATTTCATGTTGCCTTCAAATTGGTTAACCATCTAGAATGCCTTAAACCAGCTAAAAACCATGTAATACCAGCTACCACTTTAAGTTGGTTTCAGCTGGAGGGAATATGCGAAGTGATACAAGTGTTATGAAGCTTTTACTCGTCTAAAACAAGTGCTGAAGAAAGAGGCATATTCACACAGAAAGATAATACAGTTTCACTACAATCCCTGGGTCACCAACCAAGTATACCTCCATTTTGAGAAGAAAGGAGAACATATCCCAGCTTCATCTGGAGAGACTCAACGTGGACGTAGGGCGTTAACAAAGGCCCACTAATGCACTCTCACCTGTGGACTCTGCCCTGTCTAGATGAGAGATGGGGGTGGCGATGGACCGTGTGCTGCTCTGGTGGTGGAGATAGCCGCGTGTCGGCGAGGCCAGGCTGCCCAAGTGATAATGATGGTGATGGTTATCGAGGGAATGGATGGGGTGAGCACTAATCACAGCTGCGAACGGACACACATAACAGAGCGCCATGGTTTAGACCTTGCACACAAGGCTATGAGATTATGGAGAGCATGGTGCATCTATAACATCTGCTCATGCAAACAAAGAACTACAGAGACCGAAAGACATGCTATGTTGCTAGGTTAAAGAATTATTGTAAGACTAGAAACATACTCTAGACAAATGCAGACGTAAATGCTTGTGGTGCTAGGAAACCTCTGTGATCAAAAGATGTGATAGTTACCCGTTTTTATTTAGGTAGTTGACTATAAAAATGTAGAAATTTAAAATAACTTTAATTTGGTGGGCAATAAACCAAATGGCAGTTGACCTGAACATTTTGATGCATTTGCAACAACAGCAAAATACATTAGCATCCATGTACTTGAGTAGAGTATGTTTTTTGGCCTACAACTACAATAATGAACTCAGGGAACCTTGTTTGAGGACTATATGTTATTCTAAAGAGCATAGACTGTTTAATATCCTAACTGAAAGAAAAGGGGTCCGGTCCCTGGTTCAGGATAATACACTTACGCTGAGGGGGTTGTACATCAAAGGGCATCATCATTTTAGGTCTCATTCCCCGACGGCCTGCCAGTGTAGACATGCTGTCCTCTGATTCATGGCCTGCAAATCAGACAGCGACCAGCTAATCAGATTGAGACAGGCTCCCAATACAAGAGCCCTGTGAAGACTACCAGCTGACTTCCTAGAGTAAGTTGCCAAGATCATGTGGTGTTTTTACTAATGCAGTGAGATTCTATTCTTTGTCCATTAGAGGGCAGTGTAAACGCACACAACAGAGAGCTGTAGGAGTAGGCAGCAGCAGATGGATATCACCATTCATGCCACGAAAACAAAAGAAACAAGGCTGTGCGTTTTGTTTTTCCATTTTAAGCAAGGAACATGCCAATCTCAAGCAACAATGACAAATAGACGACATGACATTGAAGCATCCATCAGAAGCAGCAGCTGGAATGGTGTCATGGATGATGCAGCAGGTGAAGGTGGTTTAAAGACCCCATGAAATTGTTAGCCATTTCTTTACTGTGTTGATGTATTTCCAAATGAAATTGGAAGTTGGATCTTTTTTTAAGTAGGTAATATCCTTAAGTTTACATCATAGCGTGGCAAAACAATGATTTGCAACTTGGTGTTGTTTGGCTACGCCAAAAATACGCCAAAATATCTAGGAGTTTACTAGTACAGACCTTATGTAGCCCCGCCCCTTTTCAGCGAAAAGCTCATCGTGTTCAGTCTTCCGGTTTGTATTTCCACAGCATGAAGGTAAGATCTTACAAATTTTCTGTAAGATTACTGCGTTTACACCGCCAACATGACATCATGACTTTTGCGTAAACATACACACCACTTTCGAGTCAAGTGGCGTGTTATCTCTACGCATTTTGAGCTATCCGCGTGTACCCGCGTGTATGCGTACATGTCTACGCCATTAACGTCCGAGTGATTCCGCGTGTCTGTACACGCCGTTAAATGTCCGCGCGAAACGAATCTGGGGAGCGATCTTTTTTTTTTTCCTAGGATGGTAAGGGAACAGTCATAAATGCCATTAACCCCAGTGACGGTTAGGTTTAGGGACGGGGTTGAGGTAAGTCATATATTTATATATACAGTAATAGCGTTAAGTCAACGGCGTTCATAAACACGCTGAAAAGCGATTATGCGTCTTGATAGCACGCCAAAAATGGAAATACGAATTGGCTTGTCATACACACGCTACTTCATGAGATCAGTCTGACACCGCGGACTAAAGTACCGGTCCGGTGCGGGAACATTATGTAGCGACGTTGAACTGCGTGCGACTGTTCCTCCCAGTCTGCGCGTTTGTTTTGAGTTTTGTATGGAGGAGATTCAAGCTGTGCTGCTTTTGTGTGCGATTGGTTTACTAACGAGGTAATTAACAAAACGGCAGAAAAGAGACGAGCACCCAAAGCGTATTCAGAAAGCTCGTAAGGCTAGATATAAAAGCAGTCGTTTGTTATCAGCGGACATTGACCGTGAGATGGATGGGACGAACGCGCGGCATCGGGCAGAAAGAACAAGTTGTAAGAACCAATCAGCATGTTCAGTTCACAAGTCCCACCCCGAAAGTTCCCGAACTCTGCAAAAAAAGGGATTTTTTTTACCCAGTACTTCATTTAGGCTATGTTTACACGGAAACGATTCTGAAGAGAAAACGCAAAATTGGCGTTGCGTCATCTTCTTTTATTCTGCGTTTAGACGAGCGTTTTGTGTGGGAAATCCGCGTGCAAACGGAGACGCAAAAGTGTGTGAAATTCAATGTGTTATGCACTTCAGGCGGCTAGGAGTGCATACTGCAACAACACCAAGTCCACGCGCCTGCGTACAACTTTCACCGTCAAGCAGACTTTTGCGTTTTTAACGTTTACACGGGAACGCGGCGGTGGAGCGTTTTAAAGATTTCCACTCTGGAGGGTGGTTTCACTTTTTTTGCGTTTTTGAGCCTCAAAAACGCCGTTGCCGTGTAAACGAAAGGTACATCCGATAAAATATTTTTACGTTTTCACCCGCGATCGTTCTTGTGTAATCTAGGCCTTAGACCCTGGTTCCTGCCATGTAAACACACCAAGCACCACCCCAAAGTTCCTGGGGAAAGTTCCTGAGGTGGAAACACGGCTATAGATGGCCTTAACAGACTAAACTTTTTGGTTTCATGGGGTCTTTAAATCACAGTTCTTACCGCGGTACGAGTTACGTCTCTGGAGCATAGGATCCATGGAACCGTCAACGGGGTGATGTCTTGGAGGATCGGGGGATTGGCGTGTCGGTCATTACTGGATTGGTTTCGGGCGATTTGTCAATAGGCTTTAGCTCCAAACGTTCGTGGTGGATCCAGAGGTCTGGTGGCTTCAGATCTTTGGAGTTGCCCTTATACTTGTGGGATCCATTGGCGGACTTGCAGGCTGCACGTTTCCTGGAGATCATATCAAAAGAGTTTGAGGTAAGGTTGTGGCAAACACATTTACCCTTACGCCAGGACTTGAGGATTAGGACTGCTCATCATTAGGAGATCTGAACTTGAACTTACTTCTTCTGCTGTGTTGTGGTACGGCGTGTACACAGGAAGGCGCCAACCACCACCACAATGATGGTAAATGCTCCCACGGACACAATGATGACAATAACCAGGATGTGGTTATCACCAGTGCCAGACATGTCTGGTTTCCCTGAATCGTGGAATGTTGTTACAATGTTACAATGAAAAGGAAATGTATCAAGACAAACTGTTGCTTTGTCAAATTCTTGCCTGAGAGTTTTTAAAGGCTTTAATGTTTATGACAGAACGACCTGACAGACAGAAAATGAGAGGGAGTTGGTTGAGTACTATGTGGTTGCTAAGGCGTTGGTAAGCTATTTTTAAGTGTTTACAAAGGGTGGTAAAATGTAGTTGATAAGGTGGTTGCAAGGCACTGCTAAGGTGTTGCTAAGTGGTTGCTAGGGTTGATGTTAGGGACTAGTGTAACCTTGTTTGGTGATTGGTGGGGTACTTCGAAGCTAAGTGTTTTCTAGGTTATTGATATACTGTTGATGAGCATTGCTAGGTGCTAGCATTACCAGGTGCTAGCATTACCATGGCATTGTTATGGTGTTACTAAGGTGTTGCTAGGGGTAAAGGATGACTAAGGGATGGAGTCGCTAAATTGTAGCAACGTGTTTGCTAGGGTGTTAATATGCTGTTGAATGGGCATTGCTAGGTACTAGCTAGGTTGTTATTAAGGTGTTGCTAGGTTGTTGAACTAATCTGTGTTTTCTATGGAATTGCAAAGCTGCTATGCTATGCTAAATTGATTATGTTCTTTTTCGGGCGATAAGGACTATTGGGTGGTAGTTATCCCAGACAGCAAACTGACATTGAATCAACGTGGAAACGACGTCTCTCATGACATTGAAACAACGTTGATTTGCTCATCGAATTAACGTTGAACCAACGTCAGACGCGGCATTCGTCAAAGCTAAATGAAATCGAAAATTGGTTTGCTTTCATAACGTTGAAACAACGCGTTGATTTCAAGTTGATTTTCCGTTAGTTTTGAAAGAATGACGCATCTGACTTTGGTTCAACGTTAATTCGATGAGCAAAACAATGTCAGATCAACGTTGTTTTCGATGTCATATTTCCACGTTGATTCAATGTCAGTTTGCTATCTGGGTTGCTAGGTGCTAGCATTACCAGGTGCTAGCATTACCATGGCATTGCTATGGTGTTACTAAGGTGTTGTTGTGGGTGGTTGATAAAGACTAAGGGATGGAGTCGCTAAACTGTAGCAACGTGTTTGCTAGGGTGTTAATATGCTGTTGATATGGGCATTGCTAGGTACTAGCTAGGTTGTTATTAAGGTGTTGCTAGGTTGTTGGACTAATCTGTGATTTCTATGGAATTGCAAAGCTGCTATGCTATGCTAAATTGCTATATGTTTTTTTTTCGGGCGATAAGGACTATTGGGTGGTAGTTATGGCATTGCTATGTGATTGGTAGGGCACTGTTAATCAATAATATACTGTTGATGAGCTTTGTTTGGTGGTTGTACGCCATTGCTAGGGTGTTATTAAGTGCTATTACGGTGTTTCTAGGCTGTTGGGGGCTACCGAGTGGTTGCTAGTGTGTTAGCATGTTGTTAATAGGGCATTGCTAGGTGGTAGCTAGGTTGTTATAAAGGAGTTGCTAGGTTGTTGGGGGCAACTGAGTGGTTGCTAGTGTGTTAGTATGTTGTTGGTAGGCAATCGTAAGATGCTGCTATGGTGTTGCTATGTGGTTGTTACTAGGGATGCACCGATACCGATACCGGTATCTGGTATCGGCCTCGATACCACATTTTCTAAAGTACTCGTACTCGTTAAAAGTCCCCCGATACCGGGGACCGATACCATGTTCTGAGAAATGGGTTAATCACAGGCGCCGAGTGCCCACCCCCAGGCTCCGGCTGCAGCTCAGAGCGGGGAGATGGGGAGACATGTCAGCCGTGTGGAACAGTGATGCGCGGGTCAATGTATATGTATAAACAACCCGCACACTACCAACGTTTTCAACTACCCGCCCGCTACTCGGACCGCAAAAAAAGTAAGAAAATATTGTACCCGACCCTCTTCCTGACCGTATTTTTTAAAAGTAGTACATGCTCATCGTAGCGTCATTGGGCCATAAACGTGTAACAACACAGCATCGCAAGAAGACGTAGCCTACATATAACAAAGGCAGCACTTTGGTCATCATCTTTCATTATTTCGGTAAATGTCTCCCACACTTACTCTTTCTATTTGTGTATTTGCGGAGCTTCCACTCCCCAGTCTTCACCTTTTCTCTTGCCGCCTCCATCTCTGCAGACTAGTGATCATAGACATGGCCGGTTCGTGAACGAATCGGTTCTTTTTAATGAACCGGTCGAACCAGTACGCTAAATCGAACTGAATCATTCGCATCAGTTCACGTCTTGCGTCAGTGCTGCTGATCCACAAGTTACTACAGTTACTCACTTTCAGACATGCCTGACAGTCCCTCCAAGTTGAAATAAACCAATATCCCGAATTATATTTTACTCCAGTAACTCTAACAGTTCACTGAACTGAGACATGTTGTTGATACTGCTGATACTGCGCATCGGCGTATAGTAACGAACGCAGAGGTACAGCGGTTCTCGGATCACACCAGTACAGAACTGAGAACTGTTTAGACTGAGCTTGTGTGTCATCTTCGTGCCAGTTATTCAGCCAATAAATAAATTCGGCCTATATATTTCATAGAAAATTCTATCTAGTACTATATAAATACAAAGGTTTAATTGGCATTTTTTTTCCAAACGACCTGACCGACCGCGACCCGAATATCATTAAAAATATTTTTGGATGACCCGTAACTGCGGGTAACCGCGGGTGACCGCGGCGCAGGCACCCGCTCATTTTGGATCAACCCGTGCATCACTGGTGTGGAACAATTTCAAAGTGAATGGCTTTGGGTTAGGAGAATAAGTTTACTTGTAGTCGCCAAGTTACTTATAGTCAGTTGAATGTCGGTTGGGGGACCAAATAAATAAAGTGTTATCAGATATTAAGCTGATCGTACTAATAGGCTACTCTAGTCTACTAATACTCTAATGACAGTTAGTTGACATGTAATTGAAAAGTTACTTATAGTTAGTAAAGTGGACTATCGAAATAAAGTGTTACCCAAGTAATTTAATCAAGGACCTAAAAACCCGTATTTAAAAATATTTAAATCATGTTTTTTTTTTTATTTTTTATTAAGTACTTGGTATCGGTATCGGCGAGTACTGAAATGCAAGTACTCGTACTCGTACTCGTTTTCCAAAAAAGTGGTATCGGTGCATCCCTAGTTGTTACCTTATGAATGTGTTGCTAGGTTATTGAGGAGGTTGCTAGGGGATACCAAGAGGTTTATATGGTATTTGCTTGATGATTGGTGAGCCAATGCTAAGCTGGAGATAGGCGTTTTCTGAGCAATGGTAGATGGTTACAAGGTGCTGCTAGAGTGCTAATACGTTGTTGATAATGTGTAGATGATTGCAAGATGTTGTTGCTAGGTCATTATTAAGGTGTAGCCAGGTTGTTTTGGGTGGTTGCTAGGGACTGGATGGAGTTTGCTAAGGCATTGCTAAGCTGTTGTTAAGTGTTTATATGTTGTTGATAAGGTGGTTGAAAGGCACTCTTAAGATGTTGTTAGGGTGTTAATAATGGGTTGCTCAGTTATTATTAAGGTGTTGCTAAGTTGTTGTGGGTGGTTGCTAGGGATTACTGGGCAGGTGTTATGCCATTGTTCAGTGGTTGCTCGGATGTTAATATGATGTTGCTAGGTAATTGCAAGGGCGTTGTTAAGGGACTAGTGTGTGGTTTTTATAGTATTACTAGGTGATACTAGGTATAGTACAAAGTCGTATTTTTGATTGTTGCTATCCTACATCATTGTTAAGCCATTGCTAGGTTACTTGCAGTGTGTCTTTTGGAAACTTACCACCTGGTCCAAAGCCTTGATCTGGTGACGGGGGTCTTCCTACTTTCACTGGTCCTGAAGCTACAAGAGTTCAAATAAGAAGAATTGACAAACGGCACAGGAATCTCCAACTCTCGTGTAAAGTTTAAAGTCGTGTTCAATCCATTGGTAAAATAACATGCAGCTTAAAAAGATAAACTACCAGCTGCACTTCTGAGAGGAGCATGACGCTCATCTTTTGAGAAAAACTTGCTTGGAGAAAGACTGTTAGTAGTATGAAGGTGTAGCCACGTGCATCCTACTGATAAACTCTTAAGGCAAATAAGATGTTTTCCAGCTATACATTAACTGGATCTTTCTGCGACTGCTGATGAATTTCAGTGCGCAGGGAAAACAAGCTGCTCACTTCTATTTGAGGACATTAGTGGAATAAGAGAAGAGAGAGCAATTACCTTGGTCATTAGCCATTTTGTCAGAGGGTTCGGCTAGCATGGCAAAGCAGGAGAAGAGACAAGTTAGAGGGAGAGAGGCGTGCAGTCAGAGCTAAGCATGAAAGATCAGTGATGTCAGGGTAAACGCAAAAGGTTAAGCTTGAGATTAGGTAAAAAATAGAGTATATGTTAACTCTTTCCCCGCCATTGATGGAAATTTTTCCATGTTTTCATTTTTATATGGTAGGGGGCGCTATTACGCATCTTCTAAAAGAGTATTGAATCTCGTGCAAAGAAGATGCAGAAACGAGCGATAGCATATGTAAGCAGATGCATCTGTAAAATAACGTGATTATCAACATTAAACAGCATATTAATCAAAACTGCCTGTTATTGAATTAAATGTCGAACAAGGACGAGCTACAGGACTGTGAAGCTTTGAGGAGTTGATGGACTCGATCTACATATCGTTCTGAATTCAATCCAGGCGTAGTTTTTGACAAACACACAATTTCTCAGCTTTTTGCTCAAAATGTTTTTGTTTTTTTTATGAAACGTACCCAAATGTTGATAAAAAAAAGAAATGCATGAAGCTAAAACAAAACAGGTTTTTTGTATTTAAAATAGCTTTTAAAAAAACGCCGGCAGGGAAAGAGTTAATATAATTTAGCAACCAAACCCTGCATGAAAGAACAGCATGCTAGTTGGTCTCTTCTGGCGGTTACACCAGTATCCCATCGTATCTTGGGATTCATTTCCCTTCGTATACTGGTCTTTTCATCAGGAAGCAGTGATTGTTCTCATTCATCAGATGAAAACTGTCTCAGTAAATCAGCCGGTTTACCTTTAGGAGTGCGAAACTGGACAGCTTCAGACATGGGACCCATCCCCTTGGAGTTGCGCGCCTGGATCTTGAAGTAGTAGGTGGTATCAAGGGTCAGCTCCTGAATTTGATGGGTTAGCCTGTTTCCCACTACTGGTTCAATGACCCAATCATGAACCACTGCATTCACATCAGTGCTGTAATAAATTATGTATCCTGGGAAGGGAGAGAAAGTGATACGGAGGCATGATTATAAGAGGTTGTCACAAAATACAACCACCGACTTCCATTCACGGGATGAAAATGCAGACGTGAAACACATTTATTTTAAAGTTGGTGAATTTTGCATCATGTGAAGACGTGTGACCAATAAAAGACAGTGACCTCTTTGCTGAAGCAAACTGTAAATCTGCAGGACTGCAGTAATTTGGAGTAGATTGTATATTTTTACATATTGGATGTTTTATGTGTTGAATAATGGTTTTAAAAGAGACACTTTTGCGTGTTCAAAGTCTAGTGTGACTGGTTAATGCAAAATAAACCATCACTGTCTATAACCGGCGCTAAATTTTTAATAACATTGTCACCTGTGATCTTGCCATTGGCTTCTGAAGGCGGCTGCCAGTTGACGATGATGGTTCGTGGTCGTCCCTCTTTGCTCACTACAGTCACATCTTTAGGTGCAGAACTTGGGACTGGAGAGAAAGACAAAATGATTCAAGACTACAAATAGAGAAATTCCCTCACACTTGATGTTTATTTCAAAGTTGAATGCTCAAAACAGCCAAAAATCAGCTTATTGTCATTACTTTTTACTTGATGGGTTATTAAACTGAATCTTCTCTTGAAAATGGCATGCGCGTTTTTCAAAACGATATAAAATTAAAATGAACGCAGAGTTCATTTCTAAAGCCCAAAGTAAACTCCGACCATCCTGACCGCGTGACGTAATTTTCATAATGGTGCGTTCACACCAAACACGAATAGAGCGTCTGGCGCGAGTGATTTTAATGTTAAATCACTGTAAAGACTCATTTACGTGCGTCTAGAGGTCCTGCGGCGCGAATGAGGCGTTTAGCACAGTATTCGCCTCATTCGGGCGTCAATTTCACTTTAAGCGCTTGCTTTTTACAATGCGGCAATTTCACTTTAGACGCGCGAATGGATTTAAAATGTTCAAGCGTCCAACTAGACGCAGTAGACGTGAATTTGACGATCTCTTCGCATTTGGTGTGAACGCGCAAGATGGAGCGGAACGTGTAAAATGAATTATAACCGGGCCTTAAAGGGATAGCTCACCCAAAAATGGAAATTCGGTAATTAATTACTCGCCGTTCCAAACCTGTACGACTTTCGTTCATCTTCGGAACACAAATGAAGATCTTTTTGATGAAATCTGAGAGCTTTCTGTCCGTCCATTGACAGCTACGCAACTACCACTTTGACTCTTCAAAAAGTTAATAAAACTAATCATACGAATTGAGCTGTTTAGTCCAATTTTTCTATTCTTCTAGAAAAATTGGACTAAACTTATTTCTTATTCAAGACCCTTATTCATCGTCTGGTGTCGTTTAAAGCCCTTTGAAGCTGCACTGAAACTCTCATTTGGACCTTGAACCGTTTGGACCCCATTGAAGGCCATTATATGGAGAAAAATCCGAAAACCTTCATTTCTTTTCGACTGAAATGTAGAGTACTTACTTGTTTCAAAAGTTGTCCCGTGTGCAGTCATGCTCCAGGTGCTGGTCCTCCGGGCCTTCGTCACCATGACCGAGAACTCATACAAAGTGTTGGGCTTAAGACCCACCACCGTGTGAGAAAGTGTGGTGGTATTAGCCACCTAAAACGAACAAATCAATGTCAGGGGTGTACCAACCAAAAATGATCCACCTTATCCCGTGAGCAGCCTGGCTTCTGTTCACCATACCTTAAACTTTGTGTTTGCAGGTATGTTGGTCTTCCAGCGCACCGTGTAATAGCGAGCATCTGTGATCTTCTGGTTCTTGGGCAGCGAGTTGTCCGCCCATGTGACTTTGATGTTGTCGTGGCCCAGAACGGACGCCTGAACGCCCACAGGAGGCAGCATGGGTAAAGGTTCTGGTACTGGAGTGTATGGAGCATGGAAAAGTTCGTACAAATCAACATCAGGGTCTATGGGGTCTGCAAGCAAATTACACAACGTCCCATGGAAAAAATAAAAAGGTGAAAGGCGAAAAAAGGGAGCACGATTACGTGGGTTTTAGGACGGGAGACACGTAACGAACCGGGAGAACGGGTTAATGAGTTAAAATGGGAGTGAGGAGGGGGGGAATGTGGAGGTGGGATTGGGAAAGGGAGAAAGAGAGAAAATATTGTATTAGAACAGGATATCCAGAGCTACAGAGAACTACATCTACAATGAGTCAAAGAACTACATCACTGGCGTCTACATTACATACAGAAGGATAACGACCAATCTAAAATAGACTTAGTGTTTGGATAAAGGTCCTTGTACACATGTAACTTTCAAAACTGTTTAATGGTTTTGTCTACTAATATTTTTAATTTTTAACCCTTATCTCATTCTAAACCTACACCTGTACGATTGCCTTTTTTTCTATTAACCCATATTAGTAGGGAGGTTAAGCCCAAAAAATAGGCCTTTGACTTCAAGTCATGATGCAAAGGTCTCCTTTGGTATGGAAGTACCTTAGGGTCATACAAATACATTTATCCTAAGACACAAGTGAGATCACACTTTGTATCACAAAAAAAAAAAAAAAAAATTTTTAAATGGCCGCCAATGCGCCGAAAATACTCTAGAGCCCATATTTTTCCTTCTGTTATCGCTATAATGACAAATTTGGTGTCAAAGTGTACATTTTTGGGGTCAAGGAATCCAATGAAATTGGTTTCAAGATTTAAAAAAAAATATTTTTACCCATACCATGACAATTGTGGGTAAATATTAGGGCTGGGTAATAAATATCGATTTCTGGATATTAATCGATTCTCATTTTTACAAACCGATATCGATTCTTAAATCTCAAGAATCGATTAGTCATCCTGTTTTATTTGAATTAATAGATCATTGTATCGCGGCTGCGTGCATCCAAAAAAAAATTGCTTTCTTTGTCCTTTGTTACTATTGCATCTTGAATGCCCTCGAGGTAAGCTAAAACATATCAAAAATTAATTTCAAAGTCAACTATCCCTTTAAGTTGTGAATGGAATGTGTGCTTGGCATGCGTTTTTTGATAAGAAATTGCACACTTCACCTCCAATTGTCATGGTAAGTACAACATTATTGTTTTTTAGTCTTGAAACCAACTTTATTGGACTCGTTGACCACAAAAATGTACATGTTGATACCAAATTTGTCATTATAGCTATAACAGAAGCAAAGATGTGGGCCTCTCAAGTATAGTCGGCGGCCATTTTTTAAAAATGTGCGTATATAAGAAACAAAATGTGATCTCACTTGTGTCTTAGGATAAATTTATTTCTATGGCCCTAAGGTACTTCCATACCAAAAGGGGACCTTTGCATCATGACTTGAAGTCAAAAGTCGCTTAACCTCTCTACTATATGTGCTGTTGTGGCTGTTTTCAGACACTATGGGGTATTTTGAGTGTTAATTTGGCCATAACTTTTGCTGTGTTTCAGCAAATGGAATGATTTTTGGTGACAAATCTTATTTTGACACATATTTTGGGAAAATGCTTTAAAATTTTTCAAAAACTCAACAGTACACTCACTACCCTTTCATTATCTACTACTTTAAACTGCTATAAAAATGTCAGATAAATATTTTTTTTTTCAATTTTTTTTTTCTTCCATAAATCTATTAATCAACCTCAGTCCTGATTAAAACTACTAAATGTTTAAAAACAATTCAGGATTTTAACTCTTTAATTGCCAAATTCATAAATGATGTCACAGAGTTGGGGGAAAAAAACACACAAAATGACTTATTTTCAATATAAAATATGATTGTGGACTGGATTTTTTTAACCTTTTATCACAGTCTTGGACATGTCAAAGATTAGAAACAACATTGGTTTTGATGCATTGTAAATTTTTGTGCAGCTCCAATTTTTATCTTTTTCTCCCTCATTTACTGTTCGTGGCTGTTTTTGCCCCCTTGACTTCCATTATAACCAAATTTTTTTATTGCAAAGCCATGACACCATATAATCATGCATTTTTGGCCATTGGTGGTTTTCCCTGTTGGGAAGAGGTAAAATTTGTCATTTTTACTGTTGATAACCAGGTGGCACCATTAACCCTTTTGAGTCTTAATTTGGCCATAACTTTTTCTGTGTTTCAGCAAATGGAATGATTTTTGGTGACAAATCAATGTCATATTTGCATTAAAAATGTCATAATTGAGCGAAGTTGTCACAAACATGCATAAAACGTCCTTCATATTCAAGACAATGTCATAATTATGATGGTGTCATGTCAGTCTTCAAGTAAAGTGTTACCAACTTGTTTATAAAGCACAAGTTTGTATCGTAACAAAATGTATTACACCTTAAGTTTGGAAAATCTATTGAATTATCAGGATTAAATTAAACTCAGATCTGCTGCTCTAACGAATAATAACACTTATACTACAATTTGACCAAATGTTTCCCAGGAGGAAGCAGAAAAAAAAGGATTTTATTTTTCTTTCATGTCTTTTCATTTTAATTCGAGGTGCGGAAACAACGACCTTGTCTAGGTCAAGGCACTGGAGATGCACGTTTTTCTCCACAGCAATGTGCGGTGCTGCCCGGGTTTGCTGATATGAGACTGTCAAATACAAATATAGGGAATGAATCTGGAAGTCTGATCCTTTTATAGATTTAAAGCTGTTTGGCACCTGTTTTCCTAAACGCTCCCTCCAAGAATAACAATTCGCAGAGGGAAAATATTACATGAGAACACATTCTTTCTGGCTTGTTTTCAAATGGAAAAGAGGAGAAAAATCGGGTTATTTTCCAGAGTGATGAAGCGGACCTCTTTCACACAGCACTGTAAGTGTGTGAGGTTGATCTTTGAGGAACTCACAGTCAAACATAAAACATTGCATATATATATATATATATAGAGCAAATTGCGCAGTATTTCACACATATGAAATATTAAAATCTCTTTTTCTATGCTAAACATGTCTGTATATCCTGGAAGAGGGAAAATCGTCGCCTTTACCCTTTTACTAAACATTCCTACATTCTCTCTAATGGTGGAAG